GTCAAAATGACCCATTTTGCTCATTATCGTGTGCTATAGTCCATGGACTTTTTGGTGATCTATAATTTCGACATAACTTTTGCCAAAATATTTCGTGGACGTCCATTTAGACCTTAGCTACGGAGCTAGTTAACCCTCACGGCCAAAATGTCCCATTTTGAAGGTCAAATGAGCCCTAGAGCAAATAAACCCCTCATTTAGAAGAGAACTCTATGGCTCTGCAAATTGGTTTATAAGTGCCTTGATAAAGATCATGACCTAAAAACCTAATGGTGGTTTGAAATAATACCATTTTCTTGGCACTGACAACTAGACCATTATTCTTAATAATCTTGAAGAAAGTGTTGAGATGTTTGAAATGGGAATCAATGTTCTCTGAAAAGATTAGTACATCATCAATGTAGACAATTGACATATAAGAGTAATCATTGAATATAAAATTCATGATATTTTGGAATTCAGAAGGGGCATTCTTGAGCCCAAAAGGCATTACATTCCATTCATATTGTCCGAACGGGACATTGAAAGCAATTTTATATTTGTCTTTTTCTGAAATCTGAATTTGCCAAAAACCTGATTTCATATCAAACTTGCTATAAATATTGGCCTTAAAAGTTCTTTTCAAAAGATCTCGTTTGTTAGGTATGGGATACCTGATCCATTTTAAAACGGAGTTTAAGGGTTTGTAATTGATAACCAGTCTTGGTGCTCCTCTTTCTTTTCTGCATTTTTGTTAACATAGAAAGCAGAACAACTCCAAGGTGATTTAGAAATCCTAATAATCTTATTTTTTAAAAGAGTATCAATTTCTTTTTTACAAAATTCCATTATTTCATGATTCATATGAATGGGTCTTGCCTTAGTGGAAATAGCCTGTTCATTAAATCCTTCAATGTATGGTAAGTCCACAATATGTTTTTTACGTTCCCAAAAAGCATTAGGAAAATCAGAACATATTTCTTCTTCAAATTTTTTCTGCAGATTAGCTATTTTAGTAACTATCTCCGGGGTTTTTAAAATCTGTTCGATTTTCTTAACACGAATTTCATCTTTTAAAAAGGTGATATGTTGTGAGAGGTTATTAATACGAAAAACAGTGTTTTCTCTTACGAAATTACTTTCATCTTGTGAAAGAGTTTTAATAAAAGGAAAATGTAAATCTTTTCCTAGAATAGTAGTATTAAAACCATCAAGGTCAGTAAAATAAGGTTTTATCTGAGTGATAAAAGGTATTCCTAGAATGATATCTTCATTGATATCTTCTGTGATAACAAAATCATTTGTCAAGCAAATATCATTATTGCAAATATGAGCTTTAGAAAGTTTATAATTTATTTTCAGAAGTTCTCCTGTAGCGGAGTATAGTTTTGAAGTACTTTTTTGTAAGTACTTAGTAGGAACAATACCTTTTACAATGCAATTCCTATCTGCACCACTGTCAAGCAAAGCAATTTTGTTAATAACAAAATGTTTACTAACAACTATTTTGACAGGTATATGATGACTCTGAGGTCTGATGGAAGATATTACCGTAACTCCTGGTGCTGCAGAAGTAGAAGTGTCATTACCTGTATTGGTAACTAAAGTTTCAAGTAGGTGATCTACGTTGACTTTGGAGAGGTCAATACCAATGTTGTCTTCGGGGTCTTCATGGGAAGAATCCTGGTTAGACTCAAGGTCATGAAAAATGGTTCTCTTGGGAATTTGACTAGTGATAATGTCAGTTTCAACAATACAAAGTCGAGACTTGATATTTTTAATCTCTTCTTTGAGACTAGAGACTTCATGACGGAGATCAGAAATAGAAGGTTCAGAATGGTTATCTGAACGATTCATGATTTGTTTCATGCTGAAAGGTTCGATTATCGGACGAGTTTTGGGTTTGTCCGTATTGAGGAGAAGATTTTTGAGTTCTAGGAGAAAACGATTCTTAGCCTCATTGTCATTAATGTGTTGAATAACATCGAAGAGAGCTTCTTTTGAATGGTCAGAAAGTACTCGAATATGAGGCGTACTGTCACAAGTATAGAAAGCTTCGGTACAGGTGCAATCTTTTCCTGATTGGCTTGCGTTTGATTCATAATCAAGATCAATGTCTTCGTCATCACTGTATTCATCGGATGTACCTGAAGATTCAGAGAAGGGTTCATCAAGAATAGCAAGAAGCTTACCCTTGGTTTCTTCATCGATGTTAAGAAGATTAATCTTCTTACTCTTTGTCTTGGAACGACATTCATTGGCTTTATGACCAGTCTTGCCACAAGTCCAACATACATCTATTTTGGCATCATTGGGCCTCTTGGACCTAAACTTCTTTTTCTTAGGTCTGGCAGAATCATCTCTTCTTCGGGATTTCTTTCTATGGGATTTTTCCTTTTTGTCTTTCTTGATTTTATCTGGTGGAGTGATAAAACCAAAATCCCTGCAGAAACTTCCAAGTTCCTTTTTAGAAGAAGATTGCTCTTTCTTGAGCTGATGTCTGAGTTTAATATCCGTGCAGAGCTCCAGGGCAACAACATTGATGGTGCTTACTAAATCACCATAAGTAAGATTCCCATAGGGAATACTACCATTATTGCGATCCTGGATTTTTGTCCTAACTTTGTCTGCAAAGAGGGGGGGTAGACCACTAATGAAGCGTTCTTTCCAGAAATCCAAATTGCAATCTGGACGAATCATGACTT